CGAAAAGATGGTATTACTTCACAGCCATTGGACTAATTTGGATTATTTTGACAATGAAATTTTTATTATATGTCTCCCTGACCGAGGAAAAACAGATCGCGTTATTTCTCTTCTTCATCTATCCCCTTGATATTATGTCACTACTAACAATGTTCATCTCTTATCTTTCTATTTGGATCAAAATGAAGTTCTTCGTAAAGTTTCGCCACTGCAGAACAATTCAGGAGAACAGCAAACTGACCAAGACTCTTTTTATAGTGACTGTAGTGTCACTGGGAACTTGGTTGCCGAAAATGATCACAGATTTTATGATGTTTYTAAACATGTTCCATTATGACTTTATTTATTCAGAATATTACTTTGTATTTGTGGTGTTGCTCGTTAGCAATTCCTTTTTAAATCTAGTTGTCTATTCATTCAGAATGCCTGAGTATAGAAAAGAATTATGGAAGATTTTATGTCAGTGTAGATAGCCTGATTCACCGCTGTCAGCAGAAGTCCATAATTAGTCTAGTTATGTTACTTCTGTCGCTAAAAATGAGAACAGTCAAGAACCGATGATACGATTCTATTAGTGACCTGTAAGAGAAGAAAACTCTGCTAGAGAGCTCCATCTGTATGCGATGCGGATATTTAAAAGGCAGCCAGTCACAAGAAAAAAGTTTCACAGACGAGAAATCAAATATCGTGAAAATCTTTTATAAATGACCTCACTCGACATCTCCCCATTACTACATATAAAGCTTGTGCTGTACTTCCTGCATGTCAATCGCGTTTCTTCTCATGTGTGACCCCCTTCTTATTTGATTGACAGACCCAAAAATACGACATCCAACTGAAGTTTGAAAAACAAAGGGCAGCAGTATAAAGAATGGTGGATTTACATCCAAGGTGACACGACTCTCATGATATTGCGCGAGTCTGGTTATGGTGGCACCCTTCTACAGTGGTTCAATTCGTACTTAATGGACCGCCACCAGCCTGTTACTGTGGCTGGAGCTACATCAGATCCCCTGCCTGTCGGTTCCGGGGTTCGTCAAGGCTCTATTTTGGGACCAGCTTTGTTCCTTCTGTTCGTGAACGATTTACCAGAAGTAGTGGAGTCCAGCAACGTTGCCATGTATGCTGATGATACAAAAATCTACAAAAATATCAAGTCTCTTCAAGATGCTGCGTCGCTACAGACCGATTTAAACAGCCTGCACGTTTGGTCTTCGTCATCCAGTCTCACGTTCAATGAGACTAAATGTAAAGCGCAAAGAATAACAAGAAAAATCAGACCCGTGGAATCTACCTACAGTCTCAAGAACTCTGAACTCGTATCCGTCAAAGCTGAACGCGATTTGGGTGTCTGGGTATCCAACAACTTGACTTGGAACAAGCAGGTACTGGAACAAACAGCTAGAGCTAACAAACTGCTGGGCTACGTCAGAAGAAACACTCCATACATCCAAAGTATTTCCGTGAGACGAACGCTGTATCTTACTCTCGTTCGTGCTCACTTTGGATACGCATCACAAATATGGGCACCACAGTCTATTGAACTAATATCTAGAGTTGAGAGAACACAACGACGTGCCACAAGATACATTCTCAAACTGCCATTCTCATCCACCGTCTCTTACAGTTCGAGATTGAAAACTCTGTCTTTACTACCAATAACTTACTGGCATGAATACCTTGACATGATATTTTTCTTTAAACTAACGCACAACCTGATACACGTGAAGCCTAATCTACTACCTGTTCCTCGACGTACACGACCAACAA